TTCCTATACAATAAATGGTGCTGGAACAATTGAGCATCTGTATGGAATATTTCAAACTGGATCCCTGCCTCATACAATGCACTTTAATTTATTACAAGTGTATTAAAGGCTTACATATGAAAGCAAAATGCAAAACATAAATATAGAAAACATTTTAAATTGCTGTGGGTAGGAAAGGATTTCTTTTTGAATTTTTTTTAAATTTCAGAATATCACGGGGGTACAAATGTTTTGTTTACATGCCTTGCTTTCGTACACTTGGAATCAATGTTATAAGCATGCCCATCACCCAGATAGTGTGCATTGTACCTGTTAGGTGTGAATTTACCCAACCCCTCCTCCCCCCCACCTGCTTGATTTCAGTTGAGATTTACTTCCACATGTGCATATAACTATTGATCGATTACTTCCAGTTTAATAGTGAGTACACATGGTGGTGATTTTTCCATTCTTGCGATATTTCACTTAGAAGAATGGTCTCCAGTTCCATCCAGGTTGTCACAAGAGGTATTAGTTCACCATTTTTTTATGGCTGAGTAGTACTCCATGGTATACATATACCACATTTTATTAATCCATACATGTATTGATGGGCACTTTTGTTGATTCCATATCTTTGCAATTGTGAATTGTGCTGCAATAAACATTCGAGTGCAAGTGTTTTTTTTTTTTTTATAAAATGACTTTTTTTTTACAATACATGTTCAAAATTCTTCATCTGTGGTTTCAATATTCTGATTTTGGTTGGTATCCATTGCTAAAGAGCTGGTGTTCCCTTTTAGGAGTGTCCTTTTGCTTTTATTCTTCATACTTCTGGAGTTCTTTTGCTGATTCTTTCTCATCTGGAGCAGCTGTTGCTTTTTACTTTTGGATTTTCTTTTGTTTAGATAATGGCATGCCCAGTTTAATCTCTGAGACAGTAGGTGGTGCTTGTGGGTGAGAATCAACCACGCCCTCCCTGGTGATTGAGTTAGTGAATGCTGTAAAGAATGTGAAAATTGTCCTCCCTGTCAGTAGGTGGTGCTTGCCAGAAGGAACAAGCTGTAATGTTGTTTTGGGGTCCTGTGACCGGCTCTAGTCCCTCAGGAGAAGTGCTTGTGTATTCCATGTGGTGGATGGGGCCCTGGAACTTCCAGGTGGGTCCTTATTCTCCATCACAGCAGAAGCAGGTCAGGGAGTGAGACTGGGTGGAGCTGGGCTGGGTGAGCTTGCTCTGCAGCTCCACAAAAGCTGGCAAGGGATCTGTTGCAGCAGGGGTCAAAGGTTTTGCTCCCTGCCTCTGGGAAAAGCCACCAGGGAAGGGCTTAAGTGGCCCTACTCAATCAGAAAGTCTGCCTGTTGAGGCAGGGCTGTCTAAGACCCACAATCTGGCAGTTGGGAGCAGGCCTCCCTCCTCTCCATCCCCACTATTCTGAGGTTTCCCCCTGGCATTGGCAGGACCTCAAGCCAGCCAAGCTCTCCTACGACTATGATGTGGGCCTGGAGTTTCCCTGCTCAGGATCCAGGCCTGAGCAGGGAGTGTAGCCTTCCTGTGGTAGGAGGTATGCCCCATGAGCATCCCGAAGCTAGCAACTAGGATCCACACTGCGCTCTCCGCCCTGATCTGCCCCTGCATGCGCCCATGCCTTCAGAGACTAATTCACAAATATCCCCACTGTGCCTCCAGGCAACGCAATTGAGATCTGGGGTTATGGGATCTGGCCTGAGGTCCCAGCCACAGGCCCCAGAGATTAATTCCTGACCATGCGGCGAAGGGGTGGGGGGAGGAAGTGCACTAGTCCTGAGTTGCCCACAGGGTACCCAAGCAGGTTTGATGTCCCTCTGTCTCAGGGCGTGCCCCACTCTGATGGGGTTGCCTGGCAAGCAGCACCAGGGAGGGCCAGTAGGCAGGGAGCTGACAGTCAGAGCACCCTTCAGTCCACTGCAGGACCCCAAAACGAAAGATCTGAGCCCTGCTCTCTGTGAAAACCTCAGTCTGACAGCTCAATTGTCTCTCTCGACAGCCATGCGTGGGAGAGGGGAAGGGGAAAAAAAGAGTATGGATGGAGGAAAGCTAGCACTCTGATTATGTCCATCCCTCTCTTTGGGAAGCAGTCCACTCAGAATGACCAGTCTTTGGATTCGCTGGACCTCTGTGGCTCCTGTAGTCTGGGCCGAAGTTGAGAAATGGCTGTGTGGGAATAATCAAGGCAGAACCGGGGGAGCTGAAACCTCCTGGGGAGGACAAAGGCACATGGTGCGTAGAGAAGCAGTAGGGCGCCTGCCGTCCAGGCTGGGTTTGTTGGGTGAGAAGAGGTCCAGGGGAGTGGGCGCTTGGTGCCCTGTCCACAGGAAGCTCTCTGCTCACTGGCGGCAGCAGTGTCTAGGCTTGTGTTGGTAGAAAGTCTCTCCAGCAGCTCGGGAATCCATCAACTGTTGGGGATGTGAGGGAGGGAAAAACAAACTGCTCCACGTACGCTTTTCGCTGGACTCCAAGCCTCTCAGGGGTTAATCTCTCCTGGTATCTTTCTCCTTCCAGTCTGTGCACCTTCTTCCCGTGGAGTCTTCTGAAATTTCTGGCACCCTTCCTTCAGACCTGCATCTGACCTATGTCTGTTTATTCATTTTTTTCTCTTTCATCTAAAACTTCTCCTTCTTACTGAGATGCTCTGGCTGGTGGTGTCTCTTGTCCACCATATTAATTAAAAATTTAGGAGAAGGATTTCTTAAACAGGACATAAAATCATGCTAACAACAAAATAAATGACTGATAAAAGTTACTCAGAAAAATATCAAATAACTCAATAAAAATGTGGACAAAAAGCTTCAATAGGTATTTCACAGACAAGGAGTCATAAATGGAAAATAAACATAGTAAAACATATAATTGACCTTTCTGGAAATTTGGAAATGAAAATTTAAGACTACAATAGGATAGCATTCTGCCTGTTCTAGGTAGGCAAAAATTAAGAGATCAGGTAACTAGTCATAGTGTCAATGAGTATGACCACATTGGGTAATAGTGGGTAAAATGTGACATTTGCATATATCGCAATTTCACTCACAATATAGCGTAGAAAAACTCTTGCACATGGGTACTACAAGGTATGTTTAAGATTATTCATAGTAGTATTTTTCAGAATACCAATATCTAGAAAGGGCACAAAATTCCTGTGACA